AGGCAGACAGGCAGACAGGCAGGCAGGCAGGCAGGCAGGCAGACAGGCACACAGGCAGGCGGGCAATAAGGTAGACAGGCAGGCAGGCAAACAAACAAACAGACAGGCAGGCAGACAGGCAGGCAAACGGACAGAGTGATGAAGAGATGGGCAAGAGTTTTGAAAAAAGAGGTTTTCATTTTCAAGGATACACAAGACGTGTATTTTATCGAAACATACTAAAGAAATCTACCATGTACAAGAGAAAGGAAAAACACTTTTACGTTGTTAGCGATCCATAAAACGAGATTTTCTGTAAAATTATCGGCACGTTTTGTATATAATTACATAACTTTCTTTACATTTTTTTCTTTACAACCTTTTCTTTAAAACTTTCTTTCTTTTGTTCTTTCTTTGAACTTTACCGAACCTATGGAAATCACTGTCAATGAAATGTGTCATGAATCATACATTAAGTATTACACATTTGCGAGCTCCTTGGATCAGTAGGCAATACAAACATACATACATCACACACACACACACGAAAACATGTGGACAAACACCTACGTCCATGTCGGTATTCGAGACTCGCAATTCTAAGCACTGAGGTGTTGAGGTAGAATGGCGCTCTTACCACCTCTGTTATGCAAGTCGGCTGTAAAAATTATTCTTTATTTTAGTTTTGTTGGGTTTTCATTCCACATAACGCGAAACATTCAGTGTTGATTTTATGTAGGTTTGACCAAACGTAGACGAATTTATTTATAAACGACATAATTTTAAATAACTTCAAAAGAGTTTGTATTAAAAAAACGTGTTATTTCTGAATATGAAATCTTCCATATCTTATGGGTTACACAGGTTTTTTTTCAGAGTATCCCTTGATACATAGAGCGTATATTTTGCGCATTTTTCATAAATTTCTCCAGAAAATGATACGTCTTTGGCAGTTTTGGTACAAATCAATTATTATAAAAATCGTGTGCGTATTAAAAAGTTTTGCAACCATTCTTTTCACTTTACTCCTTTTACAATAATTTTAATAACTTCAGTAATTTTGTTTAATTTCAGAGACGTGCTAAGCGATGACGGAGGCTACGTTCATATCTCTGGTCCTTCAGCACAAGGTGAGATCAAACTGTTATGACTAGATGTATTTCGAATTTATTGGATTGGTATATTTTGCTCAATAGGCGCCTCATATGACATTATATGATAATGATAATTAATAATAATAATAATAATAATAATAATAATAATAATAATAATAATAATAATAATAATAATAGCCTATGTTCGAGATTTAGTGTCTACATATTAGGGTGAGTGCATTCGGAACGCTAATGCTAATACGTTACGTATCTTATTAGTTACTTGCAAACTTCATTGTAGTACGTAGGTTTCGGTGAGTTGCGAGGATGTAGGTTGTGGCTACGTGGTGAACACACAACAGAAGTTCCTTATTCTGACGTCGGCAAACGTACATAAGTGTTACCAATCTGTGCACAAATATTGGGCCTAATGTCATTATTTCTTTTTTGAACTTATTCAATCACGTTAAGAATAAATAAAAACTTAACCATATTTTCATGTAAAACATATTTCTGTGTTAATTTTTATGTGCTTTTTTGCAGATTTCTGAATCTGACTTTTATAAATTCTGTGGAATGTTAATAATGAATTTGTTTGAGGCTATTAAGAATAATTTTAAAGAATATATAATTATATAATAATAACTAATAACTAGATGATTGCACAGAATTAAAATGAATATTACATATTGTAAATTGATTAAACCATGGGAATCTGCATAAATTGCTCTTGCCGCAAAGATTTTAGCTTACATGTTTAAAAGATTCTTATTTTCCCAACGTCAATCATTACGAATCAATACCAATTTTTTCAGTCTAATCTCACTCGGATAATTGCTGTCCTTGTAATGAAACTGGCCCTCATTGCCAAACACGTGTTGCCTCTGCTTTTCATTGCACCCTCCTCCTGCGTAGTACAGGAATTGACCATTTCTTTAATGAAAGCCTCCCCTACGTCGTAAACCGGTTGTTTCGTTGAAAAAGCCAACAGCGAGCGCCAGCGTGTTGCCCGAAGGGACTGGTGATGGCAAATCCGGTACCGGAGGTGAAGCAATTGGCTGACGGGGAGAGATAGACGCGCCGGAGGAGGGGTCTTGTGTCCCTTCGGCGTTCGGAATAGCAGAGGAGTCGCGCGCTCATTTATCCATTGAGTACCGGGAATTTCCATGGACAAAAATTACTTTAGAATGATCACATCGGTTTCCACTCTAAGCGGATTGGCACGTGTGCCGTAAGTGGCCAGACGCTATGGACAGCGCGGGTGGAGAACTGCTTCGTCAATCCCTGACCGCAAACGGATGGGGCGTTCTTGGGTGTTTTAAGAAATGTTAACACGTAAATGAAAAGCCCAGCTCATTTGTTTATTTTTTACAATATCAACAATTCGCACAATGTGTTTTATTCTCATTATTTTTTGCACAATAATTCAATAATTAAAGGCACTTGAAAGATTCAATGTTAGATGTTATGCAAAACTAATTGATTTTAGAAAAATAGCTTTTACATTTTTGTTGCATTCGATGTGCAAAGTCTCGTTCCCATTTTCTGTCTTCAAATTATTTCCTCTGGACACTACGATTTTACGTAATTTCTGTTAGCGTTGAGATTCAAGTGTCCGTATCTTGCACATTACATTGATGGCTTTCATTAAAAAATGCGAATATTTTTCTTCCGTTTAATGTAAGGAATTCAATTTGCTGTTGATTACTATCGTAATAAAGGCTTTTTGGAAACTGGACGGATTTATAGATTAATTTGGCATACATAAATTTGTGATTATTTAGTGCCAGCATCAAACAGCCTCCTGATTTTGCGAAACGGAAAGCTTACGGAGGTACTCTACTATTGAACGTCAAAGCGTCGGGGGAGCGCTGTGGAGATAAATGGGAATGGGAAGTAATTACTAGCACTGGCAGAACTATCCTCTTATTACAGCGGGTGCATTTTTCCGCTTCTATTTTGTTTGTTTCGATGGAATTTGGTGTTAAGCAGCACCAACGTAGCATTCACCAATGAAGCTTCACAGACGTAAGTCAGTTCTCCGTGATTGACAGTTGTAACATTGCGTACTACGCATTTAGTATGAATGCTATATTGGTTAGTAGATTTAATGGTTTTTATCCAAACTCATAAGAACTAAAATACACAAACTTCACTTCCATATTCGAAATTGTTCAAATACCAAATTAATTGAGTGAAAAACACTGAGAAGGAATATTGAAGAACACTTTAAAAAATGGAACTTGCAATTAATACGCTCTTTATAATGCCAATATTTTCAGCACGTTTATGGTAACGTACAATCCGTACAACTGAAAACGTAGACAATTGTAGAATATGTATTTTTTCTATTTTACATAAAAACAAACGCAGTATAGATAATAATAATTATGTGTATTAAAAAGCTCTCCTTTGACTGTAATTGAGAATGTTTTCACGGAAGAAGAATATTCAGTAATTAGTGCAGTGATATTCACGTACGAGGGATGAAAAATGTCAGAAGAATTCACATGATATCTGTTTTTCTCAGACTGTTTGACAGTAACACAGCGCTGAATTACTTTTGATACACTAATATTTTTTGTGGGTGCACTTCAACGAACATGATACTTGCGTCATTTTCATAAATGTCCGCCACACTATCCAATAACAAGCGCTCCAAAGTTTTGTTGGAGCCTTTTTTTAAAAACTTTGAAAATGTCCCAGGTTCTTCATGTAAAGAACTTTCAAAATTAAAATTTCGATTTCAAATTCAAGAGGCCGCGACATCAGTCACAGCATTTGGGTAATATCAATTTTGGAGAAAATCAGGAAAACGGTTCTAATGAGAAAACTACCTTCACGGCAATGCTTCTAAAACTACACCCGAACATACTTTCGTGTATTATTTCTAAATTTACAATTTTCAGAATTTCAGAGAGATGAATGAAAAAGATATCTTAGCCATTCTTGTAAGTGCCACTTCTTCAATTATTTTTCCATGGATAGAACAACACATTTTTAGCGATTTTTGATAAAATGGTTTTTATATTTTGCATTAATTTCAATCAGAAATAATGCGAACAACACTAGTTTTCTCAAAAAATATACATCGTCTCTTTTAAAGTGCTATTTTAGAACAGATTTCCTATGCTACAACAATCTCTGTTCAATATTGATCTTTAGCAAAGATATCTCTCTGCAAATTTCGAAAACACAAAGAGTTCGCAAAAAGTTGGGTTAGCTATAATACAAGAAGACGATTTCCAAAAATTGTAGCAGTATTTGAAAGAAATGTTTAAAATTACCTTTAATTCATGCAAAATTTCGCGAATATTACTCATATTTGCCAAATATTGAACATGACGTTATATCAAGGTTTTGTTCAGGAAGAAAATCCCTATATTTAATAGTGTAGTTGTAGGGAGACGCCGCAAAACTTTGGGTTTCACTGCTTTCATCACTGAACCATCGCCGAGCTGTTTTGGGTTTCACTCATTCATATTTGAAGAGGATTAATCCAATGTTTCGTTACCAAGGCCCGGCAATAAAAGTTTTCCAGTCGAAAAATTTTATTGCCATTTATTTTTATTTATCTTTCGGTTCACGATTAAACTACTTTCTCTTATGACGTACGGCAAAGAAGTAAAAGTTCAACTGATTTTGTGCGTTGATTTGTTACTGTGGATGAGACGTGGGTTCACCACTACACCGGAAATGAAACAGCAAACGAGACTGTTTCATCTGATGGGGCGCAGACTGTTTCATCTGATGGGAATGTACTAGCAAGTGTTTTCTGGGGTACCAAAGGAGTAACTTTCATCGATTATCTTACTCAGGGTAAAACCATTCATAAAGAATATTATACAAGTCTTCCGGGCCAATTGGATGAAATAATTCGTGAAAAGAGGTCTGGATAGAAAAAGAAAATTATCATTTTTTAAGAAGACGATGGTCTAGGATTCCTTGTGTGACAATTTCCTATTTGAATGCAATAGTATGTGTGCCAAATCTTATATGACTCAAAGGAATTCAAAGGTTTTTAAAGTTGTAGCATCATAGGTGAAATAAGTTTTCATATATAGCGGTTTGTTTGACCCGTGCAGCATCATTGTTCGATACTATGCTCCTATGATTTTCGTCAATTTCATTTACATTTTTTTCTTCCTCCGTTATTGCAAAACAAATCAAACTGTCCTTACTTGTACAACTTTTTTCTCTTCAATTCAATGAAACTAATATCAATTTGACATTTACTAACACACAGTCGATACATTAGAGCAAATTCGATGAAAAAATAATGATATATAAATTCCAGACCAACATTCAAGAACTTTCTTAAAACGAGTATTAGAGTTAGAACATTAAAACTAGATTTGGACAGCTACTACCAATTTATTTGTAAAACATCAAAATAATTTACAGGAACTATGGAAAGTAATGCGGTTCGATCTCGAACAACAGAAACAATAAAGTAATCATCAAACTGATTTAGATCCGTATTTTGCACTGTCAGACATCTTGGAGTAATTCGTTATTGAGTTGGATGAATGAAGTGAAATAACCACGAACGTGTTTTGTTTTATTTAAAGCATTAAAAGTGCCAATCATATTTCTGTAATTCAAATTATCCACCAGTGACTGTTAAACAATCAAAGTTTGGAAAAATAATGCCAGAATGATACAAATTACATAAAATATAAATCTTTAAAAAGTGGAAAATTGCCCCTTCAATAGTATTCTTAATTTCAGTCAGTTTTCAGAAACTCTGTTACTTCTTTATCGTTTAATTAATTATATAATTACGTTAGTGGTTAAGAGTACTCCACTTGGTGCCATCTGAATTGAACAACAAGATATAGCCAGATGAACACTACTCTCTTTAGGGGTATCAGTAGCAATGTACCCGAGGAGGAAATTTCAAGGTGCACGGGAAGATAAAGAAACACAGAATGTTCCATTTGAAGGAAGTGGACTGTAAGGAAAAATTGCCGAGAGTAATAATTTCCTATAATAAATATTTCAAAGACTGTTTAAAACAATTAATAAAAGTTTTA